ACTGAGAGTATTCGAAAATGTTCGAGTCATAAATGATCGCTATATCTTCGAAGAACATCTAATGCAACATTAATCTACCAAAACATGGCCCGTATGATTTATCGAACACTTCGAGTTATTCACGAGCATTAAATTTGAATACGGAAAAACAGGCCGGATTCCTCCAGAATATTCCAGGTGTATTTCGAGTCAGCCGTAATCGAATACGTCAGAACATTGCGGCATACGCGGCGTGCGCCGATCCGTATTCGAGCGAATTCGGGCCCGAATATTTGGCTTTTCGCGCAGTGTTTACACCAAATGGATATCGTTGTTTGTATCACACAGGATTCACGGGTCAGGACTGCAAAATTGGTAAGAGAAATATAGCTTCATATTAAAAAAGACCGTTTTCATATTATGTCAGGGCGGCCATACTGATGTTAACAAGCAATACAATCTCCCTTCTTTTGGAAAAGGAATCTTTTCGTGAGTAAACACTTCCTACCGTTTGAGAAGACCAACTTAGATATCATTGCCATAAGCGACAACTTTCCAGTTACAAGATCCAAAATATTTATTATCAGATTGATGGTAATGATAGTTATTAATGCGTATAATTTTGAAGTTTTCAACGCTTTTGGCGATAAGTTATTTCAAAGGGTCACTCCGCGGGATGAACATACAAACCCAGTTCTCATTACTGAAACCCATCACCGCCCTTTCCACTTAATTGTCTATCTGTATTTCGATTTGGTCGCTAACTGGGTCTGGATTTTTGGCGTCTGCTAAAATTCAATGCAGGAAACACTATGAAAAAGAATACGTACAACTGCAGCGGGGCACGAGACTTAAATGGATCATCGGTTGCAGGGAGTTAAAAGAAGCGAAAGTAAAGAGAACATGCCACGATTAGATCGTTTTCATAACCGACGCAGCAACGGTCTTTCATTAAAAAGAAAAAGAAAATGAATAAATAAGAGTTTGTAAAGTGTACGACATATGAGTTGCAAGCTATCTTTTTTTCCCTTTCTTATTTTACAAATTGCATCAAAAAAAACAATGACGTAGTAACCTCGAAAAGATTGTATTCAAGGACAAAAGACAAAGAATGATAAAGAACGTCTTTATTTAATTATATAAATGTACAAGTGATACATTTTTTATGTAGTTTATCAATACACTTTCTGGAATGTTGACCACATTCGTAATAGACAAAACAGTCGTATGTTGTAAGGTTGATCAATCAATCAGATAACTTTACGCCTCTGACGAGTTAGGACTTAAATGAGAATCGTTGTCTAAAATATTTGCCTCACTACCATAAGCGATACAGTTTCTGATGGAGCTACAAAGAGATTAATACTGAATGTTGAAAGGGCACAGCACGATTAACTGTCCCAAGGAATTTGAGCGCAATGTATCAAATACCTTTTGTGCGACGAGGGTTTAAAAGCTCCAAATTTTACAAAGAATGTATGAGCTCATTAGCGCTTTTGCCACACAGAAATTTTGATGTTTTTGAAAGCCAATTTCTCTTCGAATATTACACCCACAGAGCCAAAAATTTCACCACTTGCTAAGTTTCACAAGCTCTTTAAGTTTTTCTAGTAAAATTGTGTCTAGGATGATGCCTTCTATGCGCAAAGTGGTATGTTAATGAGGAAAAATGTAAACAATGACGTCAGCAAAGATTCGCCTATATTACGGCCTAAACGACCAACTTTGGGCCTATCAATAGACTTGCAGTGCCACATGTACATGCATCCCATTAATTGATAAATTCCTCCTTAAAAAGTACAAGCTGATTCAATACAGTTAAATGAATGCAATGTACTTCTTAGACATTGACGAGTGTGCTGCAGGAACATCCACTTGTCACGCTGATGCTGATTGCATTAACACCAAAGGATCTTACAACTGCTCTTGTAAACCTGGTTATCAAGGAGATGGGAGGAAATGTGAAGGTTAGTTTTTGCGCCGTATGACAGTCACGTGTTAAAATGATTGTTGAAGAGAAATGCATATCTAATTTGCCTCAATAATAGCTATTATTTACATGCTGGGGATGTTTTGCTTTAAAAGTGTCCAACATGTTATGTGGGGACCCATTAGAATGAATGAATTCCACAGGTCACAAATTTTGCTATTTTGAAAGTATCACTGTAGGAAATTGTGTAAGTCACATTATTTTCACATTTTGATTTGATCTTAGCCTACGATTAATCAACTGGAGGGCAGACATATAGATGGGGTCATTAACATCATTCTATGTAATAGATCAAAGAAGACGTCAAAATGTGGTAAGAACATCAGTGACACTCTTATGCCCCTTTTTTGTTCTTACTACATCTTGACGTCAAATGTGATAAACTGAACAGACCCACAGCAACATGGAATCTATTTGTTAAATTAACACATTAAGCTCATCTCGGTTACGAGCTGCCAGGGTTACTTCCACAGGAATATGTTTTTCGATAATCGCACAACACTCTTCTAGTTCAAATTAAATCTAGCATCAAGCACCTTTCATTGATAAAGCTTACATAAATCGGCATTTTATTTACTATTTAGAATCTCCAGTTTTAATTTTGTAAAGTCACAAATAATGACGTCATAATATGGGGAATTTAAGCCCTTTGCTGTAGTGACCTAAGAACAAATGTTCTCTCCTTACAAAGAAAAATAAGTATGCAATATTTTGTTTTAGATATTAACGAGTGTATTGCGGGAACATCAAAATGTGATGCCGATACTCAACGTATTAACACTAAAGGATTGTACTATTGTATTTGTAAACCTGGTCACCAGGGAGACGGAAACAAATGTGAAGCTTAAATTTTTTTGGTACTTTATAATGGCGCAAGCACTTCAGTCTCTAATTAATATGCAGCGAATAAAACTTCAATTCTGATTATATAAGGGCTTCTCACAGTTATCAATGGCTGGAAATCTACGTAGAGGAATAGACTCGTTAGTGCTTATGCCAATCAGATATATTTTCAGTTTTTAAGCAAACTTACGCTTTAATTAATTAAATTAACAAGCGGAGAGCTATTGAATTTGCCGATTGCTCACTTTGACAAAATCTTTAAATGTTTTGCCGCACTATTATCTGCCTGGGTAAGACGCACGCGCATAGTACAGAGGCAAAAATGTAAACGACTTTGAAGTAACGCAGATTTCTCTCTGTTCAGATGTTGATGAATGTACCCCAGAAGCACGCAACTGTTCTGCCGATATTTCCTGCAACATTACCAAGGGATCATTTAACTGCAAATGCGAGTGAATCAGTCTTAATTAGACTGTATTTTACATTGGCCAAATGGTTGCAGCGTTGGATTCCCGATTAAGATATTTTTTACCTTTTGAGAACCGGACACTACGAAAAAGTAAAAGGTGAAATCACAGAAATGTAGGGAAAGGAGAATGGTCTTAAATGAGCAAATGCTGAATTTTCGTCATTTTTTTTTCTTTTTCTTTTTTTTTTTTTTTTTGTTCGGGCGTTGTTTTGATTAATATTAAGAGTTTTATTGATGTTATAAATAGATGCCTTTCAACTTCTCTGTACGCAGATTCCCCTTGCAAGGAACTCTACGACTTGACTTTGTAAGTGATAAATATATTACCTCTGACCTTTACCAGTGCGAAATTTTGCAACAGCGTAGTAATACTACCAAAATATATGGGTTCTCTCGTGATTCGTAGGAAAATTTGGGCAGACTAAAGCAACCGCGCCCCGAATTAATACTTGAACAGAGTGTAAACACATTTATTATAAAATTAGATATTCACCAGGAAGGATGTCAGAAATGCTATTCTTTATCCGACCGTGAGATAACTGCCAGTCTTCAAGTGATTTTCCTTTGCTTACACAAAACATAAGTCTTAATGCAAATTAGTTAAGAGACTCTTGAAGTAATTTTCGTCGGGAGAAATTTACCACTTATCTAGCTCTCCGGGTAAAATTTGTGGGAAAAGAAAATTATATTATAGGCCAAAGCCTTTTCAATTCTTTAATTTAGAAACAGGGAAAACAAACCTTACCACTTTGACGTAGGATCCCAAAATATTCCAGTCTACTGGGTCATGAATGGTTCTGGAATGGGGACATGTGGTGGAGGTGGATGGACTCTGGTGATGAAGATTGGCGGAAGAAAGGTGTTTTATCCTCTTTGTTTTAGTCTTGTTGGTGCTCTTGGGTTATTCTTCTACTATAGTATTTTACACTGTTTTAGGAGTAACTTGTTAAAAGTTAAAGATTAAAGTTACTGCAGTAATTGTACTCGCAGTGAATACATAGATGTGAACTACATAGTAGAAAGTGTTTGTAAGCGGTTGTATTGTTGTATTCGAATATGGAGAACAATCTCGCTCCACGTCATCACATTACTAAGTTCATTTGGTTCGATTTTGTTCTATATGATTGAGCTTAGCTTGCTCCACGAAAAATAGAAGACATTCCTAACTTTGGGTTTAGTCCTCTTCGAGATGTTAGGTGAGGGAATGAAGGTAAACTTTACATAGTGTGATAATTTTATACGGGATAAAACCCGAAAATGCCAACTCTTGTGTAGAATGATTTTCTTTGGCATCGGAAAGACCCTTAGCCAAATGCTGGCTGTCTTTTTTTTTTTTTTTTTTTTTGATTTAGGTAAAACGGATTGTCGGAACGTAATGTTTCAACAATATGAATATTATTGGTTATATCCCTAACGAATCACAGGGTTCGTTGCTATGTGAGAGTAATCATTTCAAATAGGTTTTTTTCCAAAGCACATGTGACATTATCTGTTTTCTCTTCACTATTTTTCTTCCTCTATTGCGTGTTATAGTTTGTTCCGCTCCGGCTTTAGTCTCGAATTTAAATTTGTCGTTTACGTGTTGTAGAAACTTATAAGTTACAAGCATCAAAATTTAAAGTGTCCAGTCAATGTTTCTAGGGATTTTTCAAGAGAGAGTTTTGAATTTTTTTTCTCTTGTTTAAATCTCTACGACGTATTAAGCCAAAGCTTCAAGACGGTAATTAGTGCAAAATTCCAAGCGTCCTGTTGCGAAATTACTAACATAATCTTAAATTACCGGAAAAACCCCTGCACAATCATATATTTGTGAAGTAAATATGAGGGGCAGATATCTTTTTTAATCAGCTGGTTTATTTAGATAATCTATTTACTTTTCTTATGATTGTTTACAGAATGGAGCGCAGGTTTAAGCTAGGTAATAATGCTACTAACTAATCAATGTTATTTACTTATAAAATTTGTGTTTTAGGATCAGAGCACATCATTTTATAACTCAGGATGACCGATTTTTGATGCCATACTTCAAGAAGCACGTACCACACGTCACGAATGGCCTTATTCCGGCTTTATTCTATCTTTTTCGGTGGCCGATTGCTTTTTTTAAAAAAATTAAACGAATTAATTCATTAATGCTCTAAGCATTGCTCTTAGCAACGACGATACAGTGTATTGATGGATATAAATAACTTTTCCTTTTTCCGTTGTTTTCTTTTTTGGCTCACACAACTTGTCTCGTTTGATGTAGATCCCTGGTGGCTATATCGCAAAATGTTTGAATATCACTTTTAGCTATATTATGTAAATGTTCATATGTCCTTTTATTATGTTTCATATCTTTCAATATTCAAACACCTTTTTGGAACGAATGCTCATAGAAAAAAATGATCATTAAGACGGACTAAAATGAAAATGTATCTTTCATAATCCATGATAATATTAGTAATAATAGCAAAACATAATGACGTGAAATATAACTCTTGTTGCAGGTAAAAGAACTGAGCGTTTGGTTATCAATCCATTTTGCTATTAATGAAGAGAACTCCTAGTTCCTATGTCTGGTACATCGATAAAGCTTACTGAAGGTTACAGCACGTATCCCAGGATCAGGTTACCCGTGCAGTAGTGTCAAGCACGTAAACCTTCCTGGTGCTTTGTGTGCTTTTCTTTGAATATTTCAGTTGATTGAACCTTATTTAGGCAAATAACACGAGATGGTTCAATTACAGCTCCATGTGATTGGCTTGTTCCAGACTCTCTAACGCGAGAGCGAGAAAAGACGAGTTGGCCTGGAGAGAGTATATACGAACGTAGTGCATTCATTTTTGTACTTACAACGTCGCAAGTTTGTCTCGCTTTTAACAAACAAGAATTTCACCTTCTAAGTACATGTGTGATTAAAAATTGGGTTAAATGTAGTGATTGTGGGCCGCGAAGGGTTGTTTCCAATATGTTGCATTTCCCCTGGCTTGCAAACTCAAACCGATTTCAGCCTGTTGTTTCATGCGTACTTCACGCGCTTTACAAAGATTTTTAGCTCTGATGTAATCTGCGATCAGGCTGTTTTTTGTTGTTGTTGTTGTTGTTGTTGTTGTTGTTGTTTTGGTTAGCTCTGATGCCATATAATTTTGAATCGAAGGCGATGAAGAAGATCTCAGCGACAGCAAAAATCAATATAAGTAAGAGTCGCATTGATTTTACATCTTTAACATTATAATCATCACCATCATCATCGTCATCATCTATTTTGCAATATGATTTGCCACAAAACACTGCTAGATACAAGAGAAAGACAAGATACCCCAAAATCGCTGAAATCGGATTAAACACAATATATCTTACTCTAAGAACTGTTCAGTTTTATTGATTAATTAAACGCTTCTTGCTTTTAATGCACTAACGAGCTGTTTCTTCAAATCTCTCCTCCATTGCAAAGATCACTATTACAGCAGTTGTATTCGCAATCTTCCTTATCTTTGCAGAATTGGCTGCACACCGACTCCTCACTACAGGTTCTTCGATGATACTTCGGCTTTCCTTTGGGCTTCTCTTCCATTGTTACGCATCGCCATCCGGGCTCACAATAACGTACTTCCTGATGATTGGTGCACTGAGACCAAGAGGCAGATTCGGGGCATTCATAGCACGACAGGCACTCGCCTAGGAGATGGAACAGTATTCTAGAATGGCACTACAGAAGAACTTTGACAAATCATGATAATATGACCAAATTCAATCGTTTGAAAATCCACGATAGACGTTTTAATGGGTGAACTGATGGTCGGTAGTATAGGCTTGGAATTTCGTTTACCAAATAAAGCTTACATTGGCCCACTAAACCAAGATCGACGAAGTCATCATCATGATCATTTATTTGGCTTGCAAACGTATGTGCAGCTTGGCCAAATCAGTATTACTTCATTTAAAATTCAATCAGCTTTTTCTTAAAGCTGAAAGCTTGCTGTACTGGGAGAGTGTACTACATTTTACCACTTTGGTAAAGCAGACAAGTATGGAGGCAATTGATCATGTAAAAACTGGATATGGCACCCGAGTTGTGAACAGTTTGCGGTGTGGCAAATTACAATAACAAAAGCAGAAATGTATCACAAAGTTTCTCAAATTAATAATTTCACGACTGAATATTAGCCCGACACCTCTTGGAGAAGGATGATATTTGGCATGACTTAGAGGAAAAAAAACTCGGCCTGATGAGTCAGAAATTGGCACTACCATGTCGTAACAACATTTTCATTTCTCTAGCTATAATTTTCTGTATGTTTTAGGGTTTCGACTTTGCGATATCTTTTAGCTTCTTTTTATTTCACAGTGGTAAAATATATTTCAAATTTCTACATTTTTACCACGTAAAAAGAAAATGAATGAATACTTAGACACCCTTGTAAGCCTGAATAATCGAGATCACTCACCGTATTGCAGCATCAATGATGCGAGACAAAACAAGGTGATGAACCCCTTCATGGTAATTATAGTCTTCCCTGTTCTTGTTATCTTTACTCCAGTTGATTCAAAGTGAAGGTTTTATTATTAACAGTGAACTTTTTAATTTCGTCAATAAGCACTAAAGACTGGTTAAATCGTCCTTAAGTTGACAAAAGCTGCACTCGAAGACTTGCTAATGCAATCTGATTGTCTCAATGTCCCCTGACTCTTTATTGTGTGTATCTTTGGCAAGAAGAACCTATTCAATATATTTCGTTGAAAGGATATGTTTAAACAAGGTTAATTTCACTCCTCAGCTGCCCAAACAAAATTAAGAGATGGGCCATGACTTGAGCAGAAAAAGATCTTTGACTTGTTTTTCTTTGGATGCTTTGACTACGATTCGTACGAAAACTATGTCCAATCTTTGTTCTTCAGTATCACAGTTGCTGTCTTGCGATCAAAGGCCGTCGTTTATATCATCTTTTACGATACAAAACTAATTAATGACCATTAATTAAAATAACGCTGAATTTTTAATGACTATTTTATTAGATGAATGACATATTATAAATTAATTAATCATTTCATAAAAAGATTTAAATTGTGTTGTCAGTTGCATCGATAGCTTTGTGATATTACGAACAGTACCCCAGGTTATCCTCCGACATTTCTTTTCTCTAGTTTAAATCGCTGACGAATAAAATTACGCCATTGTGATTGGCATACTGGGGGGCAATTTATCGTTAATTTTTAATTTGCACTACATTGCAAATTAACAAGCGCGCGTTCGTAATTTTCTCAGTCATATGATTGCGGAGCTCCGGCGGTCCGAAGGGCCCCGAAGGGCCGCCAAGTGGAGCACCATAACTATGGGAACAGAACCACGAGCAGGCATAGAAATAGAAACCCATGCAACTCTTTTTTCATGGTCAACCTGGCTAGCGGCATGGATCGCGGACGCGTGCGCCCAACGTCGACGACGACCTCGCACAACATTGCGGCCATCCAGCTAATACCAAGTCATGCAGTCTTGGTTTACAGCATATGTCTTTGATATTGGACATCCATTTTATGATCAACTGACACCTGTCAAAGCAAGCTATCCGCTGACCAGTACCAGGTGACCATATCGCGGGCCCAGGTTAAGAGCTCGTCAAGGTCATGTGCTTTTTTGAAAATGACCCCTGACCAAGTACTGGCTTTCGACAGGATCGCGGGCTCGTGTCAGGTTTATTTGTTGCAATTAGGGCGACGACCAGGGCCAGGTTGTTCGGAAAATGGTTAACGCTAACCCAGGATTAAAAGTTGATCGATGTATAACTTTTTCTTGCATACAAATGTTTTCACTGCTTTTTGGTCATGGGCTGCGTTTTAGTTTGAGATCATTCAAACTCAAAACAGAAGGCCAAACAATATAAACAGAAAACCTCACAAAAACTCAACAACCTTGCAAAACTCAAATCAAAATTCTCGCTTATCCTGTGTTGCCTTAATCAGGCTTAAAACAACCCGGCCCAGGAGCTCTGCTTTTAGGCTTGGCTAAATCTATTTAGTATAATTTCCAGTAGTCAATATAAATATTGAACATTCTGATTGGTCGAAAAGCTCATCATACGACGCTATATTCACCCCGCTAAAGCTTGGTTACTAAGCTCGCCATCTTTGCCATCTCGGCAAGTAAACATGACGGACAGTTGCTGAATGAAGTTTTTATTTATTCGCAATACATCGCTCCAAGTTCAGAATATTTGAAAGGATGGAGAATTTTCAAAATGACTGCTGTCGCCCTTGGACCAGAAATCTTTCGAAGAACTTGTATTCAAGACTTTTAAGAATCGTAAACGCAGTGATTGCGTCGATCGCCAGCAGGTCAGATCGATTGACCGAAATTTATATTCCTCAAGCTAAAGCTATTCATTTTTAGACGATGATGACAACTGTTAATGAAGTCAACAACGATAAAACAAAGGTACCGGATGAATTTATTTTTTCGTAATGTTTCGCTCGTTTGTTTTACTGTCGAACTGGATGAGTAAATTGATCGACAATCGATGTACATGTAAGCTTATTACTAAAACTCCGGCCGCATACGTGTATGCACACGATCAATTGCGTCTGTGTTTTTATGTTTTAGTCGTTATTTTGTAGACCTTGATATTCACCTGTAAAAATTATACTAAAACAATTTTTCGCCTTTGGCGAATAATTGTTAAATATTATCTTGATATCTACACAAAAACTACCAAACTAACTACATAAAACGTTATGCGACCAGAAAATTTCAAGATGGCGGCCATATTACACTAAAATGGCCCTTCTTTGGACTTCTCTTCTCAACCCATAAAAGAGATGGGCTTCTAATATAGAGAGATGAAGTTCCAGGCGAAAATACACTGTGTTGATGTAACGACAAAAACTACCAAATTTCTAAGAAAAACGGTATTAGACCGGAAATCTTGGGTCTCCTTTCATGATGACAGCCATATTGCACTTCCTTTTAAGATGGCGGCCATATTAGACTTACCCGACTGTTGCTTCACATCATCCTCTTTTCAACCAATAAAACAGATGAGATTCTAATTCTGAGAGATAAAGTTCTAGGCGAGAGTTGACTGTCTTGATGTAATGAAAAAAATAGCGACGTACTAGGAAAAACGTTATTAGACCTGAGATGTTGGACTTCGTTTTATGATGAGGCCATATTAGATCTACATAAAAAAAGAGGAAAATGTGAAACTTCGGTTGTTGTTTAGAGGTCATGGAGGTCATCCTCTTTTCAACCCGTGCAAGAGATGGGATTCTAATATCAAAAACTTCCAAGGTACTACATAAAAATTTATTAGACCAGAAAAGTTGTACTTCGTTTCACGACGGCAGCCATAGTAGACTTACATGGCTGTTGTTTCACATCATCTTCTTTTCAACCCATAAAAGAGATGGGATTCTAATATCGGGATATAAAGTTCTAGGCAAGAGTTGACTGTCTTGATGTAAAGAATAAAAATAGCAAGGTACTAGGAAAAACATTATTAGACTACAAACGGTACACTTCGTTTCAAGATGGCGGACATATTAGACTAACATGGCGGATGATTGACATGATTCTCTTTTTCACCCGTTTAAGAGATGGGATTCTACCATCGAAAGATGAAGTTTTACGTTACAGTTTTATATCTTGATATCCACACCAAAAGTACCAAGCTACTAAATAAAAATGTTTTAGACCAGAAAAGTTTCACTTTGTTTGAAGATGGCGACAATATTAAACAAGCATGGCATTTGTTTTCATCATCCTCTTTTCAAACCGTAAAAGAGATCATATTCCAATATCGAGAGATAACGTTCCATGCAAGAGTAGACGGTCTTGACGTAAATACAACAACTGGGAAGGTACTGGGAAAGACGTTATTAGACCTGAGTTGTTGGACTTTATTTCAAGATGGCGGCCGTATTAGACGAACACTGCCGATGTTTGACTTTATTCTCTCTTTCACCCGTTGAAGAGATGGGATTCTACCATTGAGAGATGAAGTTTTACGTGACATTTTTATGTTTTGATATCCACACAAAAACTACCAAGCTACTACATAAAAGGTTATTAGACCAGAAAATTCTCCCTTTTTTCAAGATGGCAGCCATATTAGACCAACATGTCCGGTTTTTGGACTTGATCCGCTTTTTAACCCGTCCAAGCACGGCGGAAAAACCGCTGATTGGCTGAAAAATCCGTTGTCTTGGAGCATGCTCAAGCGCTCGCCGCTGNCTACAAGAAATTGCGGTTCAAAACCTTAAAGAACTTGACACGACCTTAAGAAAAGGAAAAACGGTACCTCGGGTGAATGTGGAAAAGCTGAAAGTTTCCTTTCGGAAGAGCTGTCTTTATGGCCTGAGAAATCTGACAACACCGTTACGATCCTCTCAGTCACAGTCAAAACATCAGTATGGATCATTGCCCAAAGTAGCTGAGTTGTTTGTAACTGCCTTGAGCGAGCAAGATGTTGCCAAAAGCCATGTCAATGACGTGTTCGTTTTTGATTCGTCGTCCGCCATTTTGAAAATGGAAAGGCGGGAAGACGAACCGAAATCTACTGCGCATGAGCAGCGGTTTTTCCGCCGTGCCACCCGTCCAAGGAATGGGATTTTAAATCCAGAGATGAAATTTAGGGGGAAAGTAGACTGTCTCGATATAGGGACAAAGATTAGCAAAGTTGTAAGAACAACGACATTAGAGCTGAGATGTTGGATCTCGTTTCAAGATAGCGGCCATATTAGACTAACATGATCGATGTTGCACATCATACTCTTTTCCATCCGTTGAAGTGATGGGATTCTAACATCAAGAGATGAAGATTTAGGCGACACCTTTATATTTTGATATTGACAAAAAAACTACCAAGATACTACATGAAAAGTTATTAGACCAGAAAAGTTGCCCTTCCTTTCAAGATGGCGCTCATATTAGACTTAGATGTCTGTTGTTTGACATCATCCTCTTTTCAACTCGCAAAAGAGATGGGATTCTACCATCGAGAGATGAAGTTTAAGGTGTAAGTTCTATATCTTGATGTCCACCCAAAAACTACTAAGCTACCACATAAAACGGTTATTAGACCAGAGGCGTTACACTTCGTTTTAAGATGACCTCCATATTAGACTTGCATGGCTGTTGTTTGACATCATCCTTTTTTCAACCCGTAAAACAGATGTGATTCTAATATCGAGAGATAGAGTTCCAGGCGAGAGTTAACTGTCGTGATGTAAAGACAAAAACTAACAAGGTACTAGGGAAAACGTTATTAAACCAGAAACGTTACACTTTGCTTCAAGATGGCGGCAATGTTAGACTTACATGGCTGTCGTTTAACATCATCCTCTTTTCAACCCGTAAAAGAGATGGGATTCCAATATCGAGAGATTAAGTACCAGGCGAGAGTAGACTGTCTAAATGTAAAGACAAAGACCAGCAAGGGACCAGGAAATTAGTTATTTATTAGACCTGAGATGTTGGACTTCGTTTTAAGATAGCGGCCATATTAGACCAACATGGCCGTTGTATGGACTTCATCCTCCTCTTAGCCGGTAAAAGAGATGGGAATCTAACAGAGATAAAATTTTAGGTGACAGTTTTATATTTTAATTTTCACACAAAGACTGTCAGGTTAGTATATTAAAAGTTATTTAAAAGCTATTTGTCACTTGTCCACTCGGTTTATTACTTTGCACAACATAGCCTGTAACTCACATCATCACGGCTCGCAGGGACTCTAAAGTGAGAGGTCACGTATGTTCTCGGGACAAAAGTAATGACTTTATTTCAAGGGATCCAAAAAAAAAGTCGTAAGAAACAATTTAATGTTATTTTACAATTATAAATACGGCGTGTTTAAAACTAGTCCAGTTCCTGAACGTTCCCGCCCCACCGTTTTATAGGGGTTCAGCTCAAACGGGACAAGAGAGAGTCAAGTTCCATCTGGTTACTTAGGGCAGCTACTGATAACACGATAATGAACCAAAAGCGGACCTCTCCTCCAAAAATTCCAGTCTGCAAGCAGATCAGACGGACTCGCTAGTAGTCGCAAGAAGGCGCAAGTTGAACTTGCGTAGAGACTTGCCTTGGGTGCATGGCCAAACGGACTCGCGAGTCTCCTCGCAAGTACACGCAAGTCGCAAAAAAAAAAAATTAACGATACGGGCTTTTTAATTAGTCCCCCGCGGCCAAAATGCTGTATTTCATTGGCTAATAGGTTGCTATAACAACGAATGAAGGTCGCCACTCAGTTTCCATTGGTTTGGGTTGGGTGGCCAAACGGTGACAAACTTGCGTCGACTCGCGTGCAAATTTGATCCCGACCAAAGTTAGCGCAAGTCAACGCATGTGCACGCCAGGCCTGACAAAACGGAGTCGCAAATAGACCTAAGGTTGCAGCTTGCATCTGCTTGCGAGTTTGTTTGGCCAGGGTTTTAGATCGCAAAAAGACCCTCGCATGGAAGTTGCGTTGAAAAAACAACAACTTATGCAGCTGGCCAAGCACTGTCAAAATGAAATTCCTGTTAAGAATCAAAGTATGGGTTTTCCGGGAACCGTTTTTCGCAACACTCAGCAGCTCACAACCTGGGTGGCGGGAGACTTTCCATTACAAGTGTACCGTCATCGTGAAGTCGAAATTTCTTTTTACATACATACATACATCCTTTATTATCTTTCCCCATGGGGGCTTTTCGAAGACAATGTGGTACAATACTACAATTAAATACTAATATACTAAAATTATTTCAGTAAAAATGGTCATAGGCGTAACCCGGATAGGTGCAATGAACAAAAGCAGAAGCTAAAAGTATACTATCCGACTCCACAAGGACACTTATTTAAATTAGATAAATCAAACAAGAAGGCTTTTCAATTAGTTTTACGGAGATAACAGGAGTTAACCGGTTTTCCAAGCGTTGTGATTACCTGTGATTGACACGAAAGGAGTTCTTTCAGCCGAAATTATGTAGACTGATCTGGATCTTGATTTTGAACCTCGGCAATGGTTATCACAATCATGGTATTTGAGGTTAACTACTACAACATTGTTGTTATCACTGATATTCTTCAGTATTTTCACGGCTTAATTAGGGCGCTGATCAATCTATCGCGATGCTTTCACTGAGCTGCGGTTTAAGTCGTTACTGGAAGCTCTAGATGAGCGCTCCATCAAACAGAAGCGTTCCCTTGATCGATTTCCCTCCTTTCGGCACGTTTTACACAGTTCTGTTCGAATGTCCCTTTTCAAGAACGCATAAACGGCGAAGTTCATTCCCGAGTTGAGTAAGATGAGAAGTCGGGAAATTTGAACGACAGATGAAGACACAGTGCATGGGAGGAAGTTTCCGCAGATGGCCCGATACAGAGAGGGAATCCAACACAGCACAAAAAATGTTATAACGAAACCAAGTACTTTCACTGTCGAGGAACGCTCGCGACGTCTTTGAGATATAACATGTTCACTGTCACCTCCCTTGTGATTAAATCTCAGCTGAGAAATGTGTTCCGTTGATCGTCTTCTCTGTTTTATAGCAGTAAATAATATCTTAGTGTACGCATAAACCAAGAAGATCGAAGGTAGGAACGACACGAGGAAAATCTGCAGGATTGTGACAACTTTATCAGCGGTGTCCTGGATGCTAATTGGAGCATCAAGCCAGAAAAGACAGACAAAATTTAAAATTCCCGGCAGTATCCACGACGAGGATATAAGACCTACTACCAGTTTAGACGTCATGCATCTGGTGTATTTTAATGGATATAACACACAGAGATAACGGTCCAATGTCAGCACGCAAAGACAGCATATCGACACGCTGATTGGATAGTTGTAAAACGAGCCGCGTACGGCCAAGGGCCAAATACACATAGCTGGTCTCCAAAGACAAATGAGTTCCGATGGTGTAATGATCAAACCAGTGCAGAAATCAGCTGTGGCAAGTGACAGAACATACCAGTTTGCTGTGCAATGTAATCGCTTCCTGGTACAGATTAACCACATAACTATACCATTTCCAAAAACAGCCACGAGGGATATTATGGACTTTAAGGACCAGTAAACCATACTTGGAAAAAACCCTTCGTTCGCCTTGATGCTTGAATACGATGTGTTCATCTTGCTACCGACAGAGAAAAATCTCCTGAATATAAAGGTATAGGGATAGTCTGGTGCTTCTAGAAACTGAAAGAGATTCAAATTAAAGTGATGGAATGGAGGTTTTATCTTATATAATTGATTTTTCCTGTCGTATTTCATCAAGACGCGGCCATCCTACAACGAAGAGCACGCGTAATTCACAAAAAATTCGACTACGGTCGTAGTGTCAGTGTTGACACCATTACGGTAGAACAGGAATTTGAGTACACCTAAAGGTCATTTTCAGATTATGCTTTTAATTAGAAGTGACCAGCAACACCCGTCACTAGAATAGGGTAAATTGACAACAAAGTAAATAAAATGTATTTTAATACATGAAACTAATGACCAAGTCTCATTAGAGACGGGAAATTCTTCCAAAATGGGTTTCCCGTCGGTTGCGGGTTCCCCATGCTAGTGTGAAGACGCGACAGGACAATTTTTTGACGAAAAACTTGTCCAAATTTACCCGACTTCCTATCTGTCTGCGTCGACGAGTTTTGTTTCCGTCGATAATCCGTCACAACAGTTTGCTGGTTGATTTTCTGGAGAAAATTCTACAAAAGGACTGGAACTAAGGCGAAAGCAAAGCGCTAAACCTCTAAGTCCTCTAAAATTCTAACCTGTCCTATGAAAATTTATGAAGGTTAAGTTAGGCGAGTTTGGCTTCACGAATTCACACTAGGACAGAAAACTAGATTAGATTCTTGTCTTCAATTATAAATACATCTAATATAGAGTTCAAGTAAGTTCTGTTCCGATCCAGATGGACTGGGATTTTAAAAATTATCTGTTTGAATCTTTTTTTTTCTGGCTTCGTTGGAGAAATTTGAAAACGCAGCTATATATTACAACGGTTAGGACTACCATCCACACTAATCAGGAGAAATCGCCCACCGAAAACGGTGATTTTTGAAAACAATCTTCAAACCGGAGGAATTCTACAACGCCCACTTTGCGTTTTAGTGTGGGCGGAAAACATTTTGAAAAAACCATGACGTCACGGTAATAATCTGCCCGAGTCTTCTCAAACCCAAATCCAAAGTGGTTTTTCTACCGCCCGTGATTGTTGCTTTTAAAAATTTCTCCGACGTCCTTAGAGTGAGAACTCCATTTTAAAATTTCTCCGGCGTAGTGTGGACGAGCCTCTATTTGTTTTTCAGTGGTGTCCACCGACCTTGTGTCAACCATTTTTTCAAATCTTAAAAAATTAAGCCTATGTAAATCACGTCAGTCCTGTTATTGGAATTATTTCTAGAGTATTTGTCTCGCATATGAGTTTCACTCTAAATCCCTTCCTTTGATGACACATGACAGTCTAGGACTTCAATTTAATGTCTGTAATGACCAAATTTTCTTAAGCCGACTTCAGGTCATTGAACTACACGGAAAAAAGGTATCGAATTTAGCTCAGAGACAATGCGCTGTTAGGGTATGGGGATTGTTCATCTTCTAAAAGAAAATTGATTAAATTATTTGCACTGTATGAACCTCCGGAAATATACGGTAGAACACGGGTTCATCGGTTTCCACTGGCCTTAATTTCCAAACCATTTTTCAAAAGTTAAAAAGCAAGGCTATGCACGTGCCTGTCATGTTTTTTACGAATCAAAGTTGTGTACTGACAAACTTAAATATTATCTGGCATGTTGAGCTTTACTTTCACTTTTGCAAGGACTTCAATCTAATGTCAAGCTTAATCTTTTTTAGTAAAATTCAAGCGAAGTGAACGGGATTTCAAATTCAGTAAAAAAAAAAAAACGATCCTCTGTAGAGGGTATTTTAGAAGAATGCTTTACGCACTGTTGTATACATCGCACTATTTGTACTCCGCTGTCGAGAGTAGTTATGTTACCCCCAGAAACTGTGAATGTATATGTAGAACACCTTTTTTTTTCTTTTTTTTTTTTCATATTTTCTTTCTATGTTGTCGTTTTAGGTGTAACGTTAAGAGAGAACCAAAAGATAAACTAATCTCTAACGCGGGTCGATATATATATACATATATCAAGTGTATTTTACAGCACCTTTAGGAACCTTTAGAAATCGGTTCATTCGGATGAACAACGTAAAATTAGGCAGAAAAGGAGACTTTGTAGAACTCACCTTAAACGCAAATTCGCAAGGATGTTGAAAATAGATGTATAAACAAAATATTCAGGGACTGGGTTTTGAATGACTAAGCGACAATCACGGGTGTATTTAAAGTGACGTTGGCGAGTGCAGACAACTTTGACAGCTTGACGGCCTGTATTTGCTTTTATCTGCGTTTCAATTAAGAGAACATAATGAATTTTACTTTCAAGAAACAATTTTAACAACAATAGAATCCTCTGTCTCTTTTATCAAATGTTTCATTTTTTTTTACTTCAAGCTCTACCAAGCAAACCCTTCAAGATTTTCCGCGTGCGAAAATAATCAAGGTTAATATTGCATACAAGCCAAGAGGTACTACCTAGATATAAATTACAATTCTATATTTTGAGTGCGCCGTTACCGCTATTTGAACAGGTGAAAAGAAGGGCAGACTTCAACCACCGTGTATATTTATATTTGGGTGTTTTCGGATGTTCATGGAATAAAAGTACCGTACCTTTGTTTCGATGTTTTAATAGCAGTATCTAACAAAATGCCGTGCTTCTACTCCGCATTTGGGATTCAATAGTTTCACAAACGGTCCACTATATTTTGGTAAAAATAATTGAATAGAGATAGTCCTTGTTTCAATTCAAGCCTTTGTGTTATATTTGTGCAATTTTCTAATTTTATTGCTGCCCTGCAACACCCAGCCCGGTAAATAAGTCAAAGGTAAAAATGAAATATCAAGACAAGCGCTATATACTGACCTAACTTACTTTCCAACACGCGAAAACTGTTACCAAGTGCATGTTTTTGTTATTGTTGTTGTTTGTTTGTTTTTCATCTAATCATGCAAATTATTATACATTGAACTCACTATCTCTTTTCTGATTGGCCGAAAGCGTACAGTGAATTTTCGAAATCTGCGCCTGTGACGTCATATCTGCAGATTATACAATAATCATGTCAAGGATACTCAAGGTCACGGGTAATCATGTCAAGTTCGCGCGCTTTGTGTTGCTTGTCGTCAGTGAAGAAGCAAAAACATGACTTCCACTTTTTTCGTTCAATGTATAACAAAACAATTATTAGATTCGGGTTTTGTGATATCCAGAATAATCAAGGTCTCGGTAAGGGTTATCAGCCTCAGCCTTCGGCTTCGGCTGATAACCCCTACCTCGACTTTGATTATTCTGGATATCACAAAACCCTCATCCAATATAATTGTTTAGAATTGTACCTTGAACGTAGAAATGTGCTTAATTCATCCCTATCATCGTACATTTGTGGATAATTGTTTCAGGATGTAATTTTTTTCTGTATGGTACAAAAATCGAAGTTATACTTTACAAAAATGTCTACAACTTTTTGAGATGAAACTGAACACTGGGTACAGGGAGGGACGGTCCATGCTCGTTTCACGGCACCGATACATGAGGACGAGGCGCAGACGCTGAAACATGTTGATTTGGCCTGGAAAGGAATTACCGTATTTTCTCAATTAAACGCCGGACCCCGATTAAACGCCGGCCGCGTATAAACACCGGGTCCACGAGGCCAATTTTGAAATAAACGCCGGGGGCGTTTAATCGAGGCCCCGGCGTTTATTTGCGTTCGAACCAACAATTTGATTTTTCCCTTATTAAATAGCACTACTGCGACATACTAGTACGCTATGGTGTTTTGAT